TCCTTGACCTTGGCTGGATGGCAGCTGTAGGAACAGGAGGTGGCATGTAATTACTGCACTGCACAGAATGCTGGAGAGTTGTGTGGGGCCAGGCACAGTCACTTGCAGTGGTCCATACCCGAGAACTGCCGAGGGGTCTGTGGAAACAGCCCATTTCAGTTCCTGAGAATTCAGGCAGTTCCCTCAAGAGGTCTAATGTCCCACCACTAGGTACCTCCTCTTCAGTAGCCATCACTTTCCCCTGGCCAGCACAGTATAGCTCTAGCTGTCAGGACATGGGCTTTGGAAACACTTACACAACATCAAATTATGCCAACCATCTAAATATTGAGAAATACCTTAACATTCAAGGTGAAAATGACTTAATAGGAATATGTTAGGTTCTATGCTTGTTCAGAGTGATGGATCCTTATTATTTTTGGTGAAGGAAGTAGTGAATTGTTGAATATAAGATATTAACATTCTTTAGTCAAGCTCATTGATCATATGTTGTTTCAAGGGAAAAAACATTCTAAGAGAAACATAAGCAATAAATATAGAAAGTATTTGATATTAAATTATTTGTTATATTTTCTTTTCCTTATATCTAAAAATTGATACTTGTAAGCCTTTCCTCAAACTTAGTGGGAGTTTCAACATTAGTGACTCAAATTAGACATGAATCTCAACTTTGCTTTTGGGGTTTACTATAATTGGAAAACAGTATGCATTGTTTCCTGCATCCTCTTTTCTAATATTAAAGTTTAGCATTATTTTATTCCTTACTTATTGTCATCCTTTTTGGTGATTAACAATTTTCATTTGTGATTAACCAGGTCAGAAATTATGGTTATATCTGGTAGCTTTTAGACACTACATCAATTTCAGTATACTGGGCCTGATTCTATAGGAAAATAATTATTTAAAAATATTTCTGTATGTATGATTCATCAGAGACTACATAGACACATAATGGATTTTTTTAACACTTCATTTGACTCATTACTGAAGAGCAATAAAGGGTGTTTTCCATGATCAAATCTGAGTTGTTTGTGGTAACTGTATTTTAGGGACCCAGGAAACAAGGTTGCTTTCAGTGCACTGTTCCTTGGTCAAAGATGGACCCTGGACGGAAGTATGCATTTGACCTTACAAAAGATGTTTTCACTCAAAAATAGATTTTACCCATGGGACACCACTTTCTAGTTTCCTTTGTATTTTTTTTTTTTCAGTTAGATTTCATTGTTCCTACTCTCACCACATGAAATGCTACATCTATAGAAAAATGCTAAAAGAAGAATTGCTCATTTGGCCCTAACCCAAATGTTATAATAGTAACTGTCGATTGCGTGTTAGAGTGCAGTCCTAAGAAAAAACCTTCCATGATTCATGATGATTATATACAAACAATGCCAAATGATAAGTAGCTGTGAGCGAGCTTCCAAAGAGCCCCTATTTCCTATATTTGATCTGATGACATTTACAAGAATAGCTCTCAACGGTGACTAGGGGTCTCTGTTATTATCAGAAGTGTTAATTAACTTTGACCTTAATAAACAGGTTTCTGAAGTGAAAAAAAGTATTGAGAATGTACTAACATTTAATTTGTTGCTAGGCAACAGTCAACACTGAGCCCTAGCCTTTTGCTATTGAGATCAAAAGGATTTAAGGATGCATTAAAGTCAAGGCATACATTTCACTTGGAACCAACTTTCCAAGAGGGATCTTATTTACAAAATGAACAACAAAAATCTGGATTATACTGCGTCTTCATCCTATCACTGTCATTTCATACATTTGATCTCTCTTAACTACAAATATGACAATGGAAAGTTTGACTGACCTAAATTTGTTGAAATGTAATGATGTTTTGATGCTTCCTAACTCCAAAACATAAATCCAGATCTAGAAAAGAGTAAATGCTTAATATTCACAGAACAAACTAGACCACTTGTATTTTTGTGAAAGTATTAATCCATTTGTTTAAAGATGTGGCATTTTGTAAAATCAACTAAACTGTCAACCATGTATGTCTGGGTGCTCAGCTTTTAATTTCAAGTACAGCATAACCAATAGTTAGAAAAAATACACTTTTTTCAAAAGCAGCTTAAAAATTCAGCAAAAGCACAATACAAACGAATTCATGTTACATTTCTGGAGGGCAATTAAATGAACAAACTCATACAACTTTACAGGAAAACCTATGAGTCCAAATTCACCTAGTAAGATATGATAACCCTAAGCAACATAAAATTTATATCTGATGAAGGTCAGGAAGAAAGTCTTTTTCTTTGCTGAAGACATAGGACAAGAAAGAGGCAAGACTTGGAGGGGCAACAAGTGTTCTACTTGCTGTAGAAATTCACCCTGCTTTGGATGGGTCAGGTAATGGCACTAAGACCAAGGAATGGGAATGGCAGCGATGATGGCGCCATCACTGCTCACATGTTCCTCATACTAACGCCAAACAGGGATTTAAAACTTGTCATTTGAAATGAGATTATTCAAGTAGGAGAGTTCAGGAGAGAAATATAAAATTGGTAGCCTCTAGCGTCATGAACAAGCACTTCACAGCACTGTAGAGTGGCAGAGACAAAAAGAAACAGAGACTAGATACATTTCTACTTCTCACTATAAGCACCATGAGTAAGACTAGAATTTGAGGACTGGCCAGATAGCTCAGCAGATTAAAGCACCTGCTTAGGCAGATGCAGGGACCAGGGTTTGATCCCCAGTGTGCCGTGCTGGCTCCACCCCCGGGGGTGCGCTGAGCCAGCGAATGAGACTGGGTATCCTGGCACACAACTGTAATCCCAGCGCTTGGGGGACTGAAAACAGAAGAACCATTATGAGTCTGATCTACCTAGTGAGACCCTGTAGACCCTGTACTAATCACATAAAAAAGACTAGAATTTGAACAAGAATAAAGAGAAAGACTAGATAAATTAATAAATAGCTATTTGAGGTTAGTAGAAAGGAACTGAGACAACAGGACTTGAGAAGCTATAATATTTGACAAAAAAAAAATTAATTGAAGCAATTGAAGCAAAGGGCCGATCTCTTTTTTCACTGCTGTTCCCATGTCCACAGAGCAATAGTGGACCAACCAGAACTGGAATTTAGGGTTGCTAACACTACTATTTGAGTAACCAGCATCTTGTGATAAGCCTGATATACATTATGATGCTCAATTGTGAACACGAAAGAAAAATAGAATTAGAGGATAAAAGTTGATTTGATTTTAAAAACCAAACATCATATAATGGAAAAAATGATAAAAATCAGAAGATAAAAACAGAAAACAAAAATGTATATTCATAGTTATCCTTGACAGATTTGTATTTCAAGACAATTATTTTGATGTGTTAGGAAAACAAATGACAAAGTAGAACATTTTAAAAATAAAGCTAGAAGTAATATGTTAAGAATGTAGCTAAAAGGAAATTTCAAAAAGTACAAAGTATTGGGCTGAGATGACTCAGTAGAATAAGTGCTTGCCTGGCAAACACAAGGGTCTGAGTTCAATCCTCAGTTCCACCTAAAAAATAGAAAGTACAAAGTACGAAAACTTAAGAACTCAATAAAGTGGCTTAGCAGTACAGGTTTTAAGAAACACAAGCTAACTTAAAGATATCTGCCCTGAAATCTGTAAACCAAAGCATAAAATGATGCAAAAAAATCATTACAGATACATTGGATACACTGCACAATGCACTGTTTAGTATATATAATTAGAGTTTTAGAAAGACAAGTACAAGGGAATGAAACACTATCTCAACTGGAGGAAAATCCTTAAAAAGAAAAAAGAATGCTTTAAATGGAAAATAGCCATGAGTTAAAGATACTTTAAGCAAGATTTAAAAGAAAACATGAAGCAAAGCACATCTAAACACATTTTTGTGAAAGTTGCTGAAAATCGACCCCCCCCAAATGTTAGAATCTAAAATGTTACCAGATTGAACTCTTTATTATTTCCAAAGGCAAGCATTACATACCCGATGCGACACAATTTAGATAACGGTACAGGAAAATGGAATGATAGCCTTTAAATATTGGATCAAACTAATGATTTTTACCTAAAAATAGGCATGGTCTACCAGCATTAAACACAGAATTAATATATTCCCAAAGCAACAAAAACTGAGACAACGCTTTGCCAGAGAACACAAGTAGGAAAAGAAATATTAGAATGAGTAATTCAGGCAGACAGTGTCTTGCAATAAAAACAAATGTTTACTGGATGAAAGGAAACTGAAGGGGCCGGGGAGAGGGCTCAGTGGAATAAGTGCTTCCCTGGCAAGCGCAAGGGTCTGAGTTCAATCCCCGGTTC